AAGACTGTATGAATTATGATAAGATTAAAGCAGCTATTCTCAAAGCACACGAGTTAGAACCACAGGCTTATCGACAAAAGTTTCGAGGTTATCACAAAGAAGATAATCAAATTTATATGGAATTTGGCCACGAAAAAGAGGTTTATTTTGATCGATGCTGTAATTTTAAGCATATTAGCAACAGTTTCGACAAACTAAGACAATTATGTCTAATTAAGGAATTTAAACATTGTGCACGTGACGCCTTCAGAACTTACTTGGAAGAAAAGAAAGGTGAAACACTACAGGAAGCAGCCGCTCTTTGATTACACTTTAACACATAAAACCACTTTTCATAAAAAGAAATTACTATCATCTCAACAATTATATCATCTGTTCAATTCACTAAAGTTGTGGATCCTTCTAAAAACTCCAGTTCCTCTAGTTCAAAATCTTCTGACAGTCATGATAAAACTTCTTTAAAACAATCAAGGCCTGTCTGCCATTTTTGTAAAAAGGGACTGGTCATGTTATGTCCAATTGTTGGTGTTTGAAAAAGAAAACCAGTGCGTTTGTGTCCACATATGGACGTAGTTTCACCAGATCACCCGATGCCGTTGATTTGGCCACTGATATAAAGGCTGATCTAATCAGGGAGGAATTTAGACCTTTTGGGTCTGTGTCTTTGACAAATGACACTGGCAATCCCATACCCATACGTATTCTACGTGATACTGGTGCGATTCAATCATTGTTGTTAGAAGGTATATTGCCTTTAGATTCGATTTCTGCCACTGGTGAGTATGTTATTGCTCGGGGTTTTGAGGGTGGCTGTGTTAATGTTCCTCTTCATAACATTTATTTAGCATCAGACCTAGTTTCGGGACCAGTTGTGGTTGTGGTAAGACCTACTCTGCCAATTAAGGGTGTATCATTGTTGTTGGGAAACGACATGGCTGGAGGAAAAGTTGTTGCCGAACCTAAAATTATTGTTTTATCTAAGGATGATAATGTTGTTGAGGAGATTTCCGATGTGTTTCCCTCATGTGCGGTGATTCGAGCTCAGGTTAATAAATTACGCCAAAAACAAATAATAGACATGGATTCAGGGGACGATATTATATATTTGTCTCAGACATATATTGGATCCGACAAGGATCTTGTGGATAATTGTCCTACTGATGATTCCTCGGTGAGGGATCTGACTAACCCAGTGAAGTTCCATTTACTAAAAGTAAACTGTTCACTGAGCAAGAAAAAGATCTGCAGATCTATTCACTATTTAAATATGAACTCCCAAAAAGATGAACTGGAGAAATTTACAAATGGTTATTTTGTCAAAAGTGGTGTGCTTATGAGGAAATGGAGACCACCAGATGTGCCAGCTTCAGAAGACTGGGCTAGTGTTTACCAAATCGCTCTGAAATATTGAAAGTTGCCCATGAACTCCCCATGGGAGGTCAATTAGGTGTCAACTAGACATGTGACAAAATGCCTGCCACGTATCGAATCTGTGACATTCCGTGACTTAGGTCGACGTGATAACAACCACGTTACAAACACTTGAAGAGAAGTTCGGGAAAATGTTCTTACAGTGTTCATTCTTTAATCTTAATTTTAAATAATATTTTCTTTTAGGTATTCATTAATGAAGCATTAAAGAATGTTATCAATCACTAGAGTGGTGAAAATAACAGCCGATCTTTTATTTTGCCTTCTGGGAAAAGAGAAACCTAAGAATGAAATATGTAATGTTGCAACATAATTTAAGTTTGTTTGTTTTAGTGCAAACCTACATAAATGGGCTCTATCCACCGAGTATATCGAAACCTTGTAGCATTGCGCTTAAAAACAAAAACCAGCTGGATATAACACATATTTTTAGTTGAACATCCAGTACTCTATGAAATGAAACCCATGAACTCTAATAACTTTATAATGCGCATACAATACAAATGATAGCTTTCTTCAGTTTAGAAACGAAATTATAAAAATTACTTAAATAAGTGCTTGTGGTGTAGTGGTCATCACATTCGCTTTACACGCGAAAGGTCCCAGGTTCAATCCCTGGCAGGCACAAAGTGTACTTTTAGATTAGCGCGTTCTGCTGTCTCAGAGTACAGACGTGCTTTTTTATCAGTTCTGATTTCATGTTTAGTTAGTGACTTTTTTTGTTTTATGGCGTTGTGTAGTTTTTGTTTGTGATTTTAAAATTGGAAGTTTCTGAACTTGGTTTATTAAGTCCAGAGCTTCTGTTGAAGCTAGATTTGTTCAATATGGTTCTTTAGAAGATATGAAAAGATCAGTGTTTGTGGATTCTCCTAAAATTAATCAAGGACAGCTTGTACAAGCTGTTATTTCTCAGTTTTGTTCTGCTTCAGTTTCATCTATTGTCACTTATCCGGGGGACTATGAGGTTACATTTATATTAAGTTACTGTGTTGAATTTGTGGTGCATTCTGGAATGATCATTCATGGCGAATATCTCACTGGTGAAAGCTTTATCTCTAAGTTACATACAGAGGTCTCAGTGGAGAACTGTTCGATAATGGAGGTGGATCGTGGTGTTCTTCTTGGACCTGCTACCTTAGATGATGAGAATATTCGATCACGCTCTTTGTCTACTGTTGCTTTTACGTCGTATTGGAATTAATATTATTAAACTGAGGTAAGTTGATACTTACAGACTTAGTCACTGAACGTTAACCCATAGCATTACAACAATAATAGACAATCCCTAATTTGTAAAAAAAAGTAACAACTCTAACATATTCAAATATTGTCAAATTAATATATTTTTGAATTCCGATTAAAATTCTGTCTTCTATATTTCAGAGTAACTTTCTCTAAAGAAGGAATGACTATCATGTTCGTCGTACAACAACCATATACCAGCCTCGATTCCTGATATGCAAAGTTTAATAAATACACTCATGACTTTAAAAAAAAAATTAGACAAACTCGTCATACATGTGCTTGTGGTGTTGTGGTCATCACGTCCGCTTAAAGGGCACATGTGTTTTTGAAGGGCTCTGTCAGTGTGAAAAGTTACTCACACTTTTTGAATTTTTACTTTTCAATTTTATCGAGTGCGGAAATAATAGGACCTATCTACTATGTCTAGTGCTTCTGCTGGTGTTAGAGCTGACCATTATAGCTCTTTAGATGTTATGAAAAAGACTGTATTGGATGCACCTAATATAAATCAAGGTTAGGGAATGCAAGCAATTATTTCGCAGTTTGGTGCTGCTTCAGTTTCGTCTATTGTTCCTCGTCCTGGGGGCCATGAAGTACCATTTGTTTTAAATGATGATGTAGATTATCTGGTGGATTCTGGATTGACCATCAATGATGAAATCTATGCCAACCAAGAGGTGTTTAGCCGTACGTTGGCTGTTTCATTTATCGGCGTTCCTGAATATGTTACATATGCGAGCATTTATTCTAAATTGCATGAATTTG